ATGGATCCACTCAATGCATAGATGAGAGCAGAGCACGACTGCTGATGACCATTTGGACTGTAACCATATAAGCTGTATCCTAAGAATAGCAGAGTTCCAAGGAGCATGGCCCTGAATGTTTTTTGGGGGGAGAACTACCATACTGACTCTGAATCATCTACCTATGGGTTTTGACATGGAGTGAAATATACTGCTGGCCTTGTAAAGCCATGTATTTTCACGTTTGTTAATGGTAGCACAGAGTGAATCCTGAGTGAAACCTCCAACTTACAGAAGAAAGTACTAAGCTTCAGGGAGGGTAAATAATTTGCATGGGAAGTAGGAGAGTCAGACTGGATTCAGTCCTGGGTGGTCCCCGGCCGTATGCCATCCTGCACCTTCCAGTGTGTCGGTTCAGCCAGCTTTCACACACTGCCACAGACTTAGCTATGAAACCTAAAAATGGACGTGCCAGACTAAACAACCCAAATACCTTTCAGTTGTACAGAAACAGATAACTATCATAGCATACTATCAGCAGTGAAAATGGGTAGATTATACTTGTGAGCAACAATATGGACAAATATGCCAGAAATCTGCTGAGTGAAGAAAACAAGATCAAGGAGACTATATAAAGCATAGTACTCTTCATAAATCGTAAAAACAAGCAACCAAGGCAATTCAGTGAGGAAAAGATAGTCTTTTTGAAAATTGTCCCAGGACAATCAGATACACATTTGCGTGCACACACACACACACAAGTATTTTCATCTGGACCTCCTTACCTCACACCATACACAAATACTAATTCAAAAGGGATCACAGACCTAGCTGCTAACCTATAAAAATTCTAGAAGAAACTTTAAAAATGGATATTCTCCTCAAATTGCTCTCTATATACAATATCTACCAAAAAAGCAGGACTTTTTTTCAAAGACATTAACAAGCTAATCTTAAAACTTATATGGGACTATAAAGGACTGAAAGTAGCCAAAAGAAATTTGTAAAAAAAAAAAAAAAAAAGAGATGGAGAAGTTATACACTCTGATTTCCAAACTTATTATAAAACTTGAGGATTAAAGACTGTGTACTAGTGACATGCGGACAGACATATAGATCGATGGAACATAATGGAAAAACCCAGAAATAAAGACTTGTATTTATAAGTATTTTCAAATTGTCCTTTGAGAGTGCATGAGTTTTTTCCCCCAATCATGAATAAAGGAAAAGTCACAGTAGGTTTTTGACTGAGTTTGGCTTACGTTTCTGAAGCGATAATCTAGATGTCAAAGCAGTTCTACCAACTCTTTCCTGGGCACCATTAAAGAGACAGGAGAGAGGCCTCTTCTCCAGGAAGGCTTCAGCGGGGCAGTGACCAGCCCAACACTGCCCATCAGTGAGGTCGTCACACCGGGAGGTTTGTGTGTATCTGAGACATTTGTTTTATGACCCGGTGAGATCAGCATGACCTTCTACCTTGGTTGGCGTCCTGAATTTCTCGAAGGGCAAATGGAAAGAGATCTTTCTGCCTCTGAAAACATTTATTGTGACAAAGAGGGAAAAAAAAGTCAGACTGACAGTGTGCTAGGAAGCAGGGAGGAGGTCAGGTCCTGGGGGAAATCCTAGCTGTGACTCAGCAGAAGGGCACGGGGACAGCCCTTGCCCTGCCCCTTGGTATGGAAGGGAACTACACAGAGGAAGGGAGGAGGGAAAAGAGAGAGGTCAATGTCTAGGTTTGCTTATTCTGATTCCTTGCAAGGACAGTGTTTCTCAGAATCCAGATCCTGTCTGGGTAGGGAATCCCCTGAATTAGTTATTCTTGGGAGAATCCCAGGCTGGCCCTTGAAATCCCCTGTGCTGGAAATCCCCTGTGGCTGAGGAGAGTGTGAGAGTGGCACCTTCAACCCTCCCAGTCCTGGGAGGGCTGCCCTCCTCCCCAGGCTCTGTCTGCTGCACTCACGGCTCTTTGCTGGCGGCTGCCCAGTGGTCTAGGCAGGGACTCCCACCCAGGGATGCTCCTACCAACTATGGGCCCGGAGCTCTCCTTGCTCATTCCTCATAAGGCTCCTTGCAGGCTCTGACTTCCTTTGTCTGTCTGTACCCCTTCCCTATGTGTACCCTTCCTATAATGCAAACGTATGCATGCCATGCCCTCCCGCTTTCCCTTCCACTGGGGGGAGATTAGTAGATGGACAGCAGTAGAGATTTGCATTTGAAGACGGGCTCACAGCTACTACTAATGTGACTGTGGGTGAGTCCACTGCTTGCTTATCAGTGGAGATACTAATATTTACCTCATTAGAAAGCTAGAACAGTTCATCAGGTGCCTTTTACTAATATCTTGTGCAGTTCCTGAAATATGATGAGTACTCATCAAATGTTATTTTCCATTTTTTGTTATTCACTTACTGATTCATTTATTATTTTTTTTTTAGTTCATTCATGCATTTGATAAATGTTAAGTATTTACTGTACCAGACAGCATGCCCGGGAAGTGCTGGAGACCCAAGTTAATCAAGACACAATCATGACCCCCCCAGATCTCCACTGTTTCATGGGGGTGAATAGACAAGTAAGCAGATGATCTTCCTGCTGGAGAAACTTGCCCTGAGGGGCTTGTGGAAGGCGAATGATTGGACAGAGGATGGGCACATGAGTCAGACTAGGACAGGAGTTAGGGAAGGCTTCCTGGAGGAGGCACAGCTTACATCTTGTATCTGTATAAATCCCTGACACTGTGGGTAGAGCTGGAAGGACACACATGCTCTTTGACCGGGTGGCAGAGACCTGTATGTCCAGGCATATACAGGGAACTAGGAATCGTGCACAGAAGCTGCTAGACTTGCAGATCCACAGCTCTGGTCTGGGCTGGGGGTACAGCTCTGACAGACACCATTCCTGAGAAATGTGGTTCCTGGGCTCTCCCTGCAGGAGCTTCTCTCGAGATTCCCTGCTCCCCTGAGAAAGGAGACCTCTGCCCCAAGATGGTGTAGGCTGCCCAGGAAGGAAAGGCAAAAAGGGGAAGGACGAGAAGAATGATTTAATGCTAAGCAGCTTTAGACACCTTCTCTCTGCTTCCCTTTCTAGAAATGAGGCAAAGGTCTAAGACGGTAATGGGCACAGGTGAAATGTGGAAGTGAGGAGCCTTGTGAGGCTTTCCCTTCTCTTCTTCCTGCTGTGGGCTCGCTCCCTGCTACCTTCCACCTGATCAGACCTTTTCTGCTCGGTTACTGGTGATGTTTCAGAATCCGCAGATCCTATTGGACACTGGATGCAGGGCTGCACCTGCAGATCCAAGATCACAATCTTGGTTTCTGCACACAGGGCATGATAGGAACCCAGAGAGGCATCTGAAGGGAGACTGGCAGGGCCCACTGTCTCCAGTCTGTTCCATCAGGCACTCTTCCCCCTTCATTCCCATCCTATGTGCTTGAAAAGTATGTCTACCCCACAAAATACATTTAAATAATAATTTTCCAAGTTTATGGCTATCTAATAAGAGCTTCAAATAGAAGAACCTGATTTATGTTGAGTTTTTTTTTTTGAAATACTGGATTGGTTCTTGGATCCCATTACTCTATATAGGCACTTCTATAAACCCAAGTTCTCCAGGATGGAAAGTCCTGCAGTAAAATGGGATCATTTGACACCTATTGGTGCTGAAGGTACAATAAATGGCCACTAAGAACACAGCAAAAAAGATGATAATGACATTTTTATGGGATTTTTACTTTGAAAAAATTGGGAGTACCTTTCATAAAGGCTTTTTTGAGAATGTGTTTTGTGGCACTGTCCTGAGAGCTTGGGAGAGGGCAGTGACTCCTTTGGAATGTTAGGAGGATCAGAGCAGCCAAGTAAACTCGCTGAGGGCACACAGCCTGTGCCCTCCCTTTTCTGTCCCGATCCAAACCTCCAGAGACAAGGAGGAAGAAGCATCATGGGTGTGTGTGTGAGTGCCGGGAGTAGGGAGTGTCCAGTAGTAAAGGTGGGAAACAGAGTCACCGTGGTGTGAGAGCCGATGTGTGCTGTTCTGCTGCACGAAGGTGGGCTTAGCACTTGATTGTTGGGCTAGGATTGTTCTAAGTACTAGATTTGATTTGCAGGTTCTGTGACAGGATAGGGACAGTGCTAGAGAGCTCAAGACCCAGGAATGTAAGGTCCATTTTACAAGCTGTTTTCTGAATTCCCTCCAATCATCTCATGTTCAGACCGGAAAACAAACATCCAAGGACTTGAACAGACTTGCACAACTTAAGGTAGCAAGTGGCACCCCGCGACTTGAACTCCCATCTCCTCTCACAGCAGGCTGTGTATCCTGTGTGATCTCCAGTCATGCCTCCCACTCTGCCGGGCTGGTGTGAACTGTCTGCTCACGGTCCCATCACTCCTCATGGACTCCTACATCCTCTCCTGGGCCTCCCACTCTGCCAGGCTGGTGTGAACGGTCTGCTCACGGTCCCATCACTCCTCACGTACTCCTACATCCTCTCCTGGGCCTCCCACTCTGCCGGGCTGGTGTGAACAGGCTGTTCACAGTCACATCACTCCTCGTGGACTCCTACATCCTCTCCTGGGCCTCCCACTCTGCTGGGCTGGTGTGAACAGGCTGTTCACGGTCACATCACTCCTCGTGGACTCCTACATCCTCTCCTGGGCCTCCCACTCTGCTGGGCTGGTGTGAACTGTCTGCTCATGGTCACATCACTCCTCGTGGACTCCTACATCCTCTCCTGGGCCTCCCACTCTGCTGGGCTGGTGTGAACAGGCTGTTCACGGTCACATCACTCCTCGTGGACTCCTACATCCTCTCCTGGGCCTCCCACTCTGCTGGGCTGGTGTGAACTGTCTGCTCATGGTCACATCACTCCTCGTGGACTCCTACATCCTCTCCTGGGCCTCCCACTCTGCTGGGCTGGTGTGAACTGTCTGCTCACGGTCACATCACTCCTCATGGACTCTTACATCCTCTCCTGGGCCTCCCTCTCTGCCGGGCTGGTGTGAACAGGCTGTTCATGGTCACATCACTCCTCGTGGACTCCTACATCCTCTCCTGGGCCTCCCACTCTGCCGGGCTGGTGTGAACAGGCTGTTCATGGTCACATCACTCCTCGTGGACTCCTACATCCTCTCCTGGGCCTCCCACTCTGCCGGGCTGGTGTGAACTGTCTGCTCACGGTCACATCACTCCTCACGTACTCCTACATCCTCTCCTGGGCACCCTTGCTCTCAGGAAGGCCCCTGAGTGATGGCATGGGGCAGGTTCTCGAAAGCAGCAAGAGATGACCATCAGATAGTAAAGGTCTTGAAGTGGGTGAGGGCCCAGGGCCCCAGGCTGGGCAGTCATAAGTCAGGACTGGTAGTGGTGGGTTGTTAACTGGGGAAGTTCTGAACAGAGGAATGTGTTTGATCAGAGAGTATTCTTGGTTTATTGACTCTGCCCTAGTGAAAGTGAAAGAAAATTTATGATATCATGAAAACAAAGGACACAGGCACAGTGGTTCAGGCAGGGGATTTCCAGCTCAGCTCTTATATAAGCTGGATGCAAGTCCTTTTCCTCAGCCTCCTTTGTCTGCTCCCTTGATTGTAAACATGGCATCCAGTGCTTCCTGCCTCTGTGTAAGTTGGGGCTTGAAAGTGGGGATGGGGAGAGAAAAAACACCTCCAAGGGATGGGGAGCAAGTCTATGAGGGATGTGGGGGCAGAGTGGCTGGGAAGGCATCCTGCAGGGGATGAGACAGGCTCTGATAGCTACCGAAGCTGAAGGAAGATTCTGGGAATAGAAGCAGCTCATTTGGCTCCTGAATGCTCTTGTGTGTCAGACCCGACTGGCCACTGTTAGGGGAGGATGGTGGGAAGTGGGAGTGGGCTTCATAATCACAGGGCTGGATTTGAAACTATGGGAATATTGTCTGGAGCCCTTTTTCCTTCTTCTGATTAGAGGTACCTTGGCTCTTCAACTTCCTTCTCCTCCCAAAAGAGAGGCACACAAAACTCATTTACTCTAAGCTGTTAATGACCTGATACAGGAGCCTATTAAGAGTATGTGCACTATAGATGGGCTGGCATCAAAGTGGTCCTTAGCACTGAGGGGCATCGGTCCAGTGAGGAAATGTCTGTGATGTCCAACTGGGAAGATGGTTTTGAATGGAGCATGAGGGAAGTCCTCCCAGGCTTTTCAGTGACAACATGGAGGTGAGCTTGCCCAGCTTCAGACTATGGAAGGAAGACTTAGGTCTGGCCCAACCTTCTGTGAGTGAGGCCCTGGTCTAGCAACAGGAGGAGATCATATTCTGCAATAGGTAGATGTAAAAACACAGGAAGTCCAGGGAACAAGTCACACTGAACACAGTGTCACTGTAATGTGTGAGTTATTACAAGGCCATGGGACATTAAGAAAGAAACCAGGAGTACAGAGAATATGTGTCCTGGCCAGGGTTTCCTTCTAAAGTAGTCATGGAGAGCAGTGTGTGAGCATCCCATGAGGCTGACAAGTCTTGGGAATTCTCTTTAGGAGTTGTTTTTAGTGCCTGGTATATAATTTGGGATGCTTTGTAATTGTATTTAGTGTTGACATTTGACAAACTTTATCCAGATAGGAAGCAGGCAAATAACGTGGGAAATCATTAATGACATTAGGATGAATGAGAGGTATGGTTGTAAAGCAATAAGACTGATTTTCCTGTGTTATAAGCTTGAAATTCCCAAAGAGAAGTTCCAAGAAAGGGAGGGACACAACTTTTGTAAAGGAGCTGGAGGACCAAGCAGGCAGGGAGGGTGGGGCTGGGCAAGGAGGGGACAGTGATGTAAAAGATGGCAGGAATTCCAGGCATCTTGATTTGAGGTCTCTTGGCCTTCATTGTCCAGGTGAAGGTCTATTCTGAGGAAGGGACATCAATGACCTTCACTGCTAACGTGAATGACAGAGTGAAGAAGATCAATGAACACATCCGGGCTAAGACCAAGGTTCCCGTGCAAGACCAGGTCCTTTTGATGGACTCCAAGACTCTAAAGCCCCAGAGGAAGCTGTCATCTTACGGCATTGACAAGGAGACGACCATCCACCTCACTCTGAAGGTGGTGAAGCCCAGTGATGAGGAGCTGCCCTTGTTTCTGGTGGAGTCAGGTGATGAGGGGCAGAGGCACCTCCTCCAGGTGCGAAGGTCCAGCTCAGTGGCCCAGGTGAAACAGATGATAGAGACCAAGACTGCTACCATGCCTGAGAAACAGATTGTGACTTGCAACGGCAAGAGGCTGGAAGATGGGAAGACCATGGCAGATTATGGCATCAGAGGGGGCAATTTACTCTTCCTGACAGCCCACTGCATTGGGGGGTGAGCCTGCCAGGAATGGGTGATATTAGGAGCAAAAGAGCTTACTGTTAGCTCTTAATCCACCCACATCCTTTGATGATTTCCCCAAATTAACGAGAAAGATAAATAGAGAAAATTAGGGGTGAAGTGGGGTGGAAGACTGCAGAGAACTTTCTAACTCCATGATTTTTTGATCTAACATAATTGATGAGGTGGCTGGATTGTGTATATTACTGAAAACAGAAAATAACATTTTAAGGCACAGGAGAGATAGCATCAAAGCCAGCTTGCAATTTAATCCTTTCCTGGTTCCCTCTGATTTTTAGAAAAATTCCTATTTCTTCTTCTGTCCAACAAGATAGCAAGTTTTACACTGGGATCCATGTTCCCCTAATTTCTGTGTTTACACCGATATATTTCATCTGTAATATCACTCAGTATGTTGAATCAAATTGAATTTCTGCTTATAGAGAACAGTGAAATGATTTATATTGAAGTGAGTTAATTTCTCTGATATGATTATAATCTAATTAACAAAGACTTTAGAAATTCAACTAAACTACCTTCTTGGTCCTTATTTAAAGTTGTTTGGTATGAAATGAATCCTGGCACAGTGTGCCATCTTATGCTCTACGCCCCACACTGAATTCAACTGTTCTTATTTCTGGGGATGATGGTGGACTTGGAAAGATACCTTCCCTGGGGACTCAGAGATTTTGTTCTCCAGTGGGGACTCCTTGGGGGAGGTGTGGTTGTTGAGCAGGCTCTGTCCTGCCTGTGTTAGGGTCTAGCAGGTCTTCTCTAGGGGTGGGGGCATCATTTGGGTGGGGGCTTTGGGTTGGTCTCTGGTTGACTCCCAAGGCTCTGCCCAGGTTCTGGCTGACAGAGCTCTTTCCTGTCTGCCTCCTGCACCCCTGGTGTCTGCTCCTCTCTGGGGAACTTGGGTCCCTTCCTCCATCTTCCTCGCCTTACTCACTCCTCTGTCTCACTGTCCCTCTTGGGTCTCATGCCTGGTCAGGAACACATTTTCCTCACCATCTAAGACATGTCTAGTCCCTTCTGTTCTTAACCACCTTGTGCAGAGGAGATCCCTAGCTTAACACAAGCCCCACTTAGGGGAGTTCCTTGTTACACTTTGGGGTCCAGTGCTCTTGGTGGCACTAGTGACCTGGCTAGGTGGGCATTAGGTTGGACTGATTTCCTGAGATGAGCAACTGTGGCTCCTTTTTTTTGGATGGGGTCTGCTGCAGAGTAGAGTCCCTGATTTCTCTGTTAATTTGGCGGACTCCTGAAGCTAGACACCATGGGGTCTTCATGATGTGTGCCATCAGACTGGGAGAGAGTGAACGTTAACTGTCCTGTCATACATGATCTTACCAGCATATGGACCCTTCAGGAGTGGTCACAGTACGCCCTGAGGATGGGGAAGGTCCTCTCGAAATCATGCCTTCTCTCTTCATCAGCTTAGGAGAAAGCCTGAAGGCCACTTCCCCCTCCCTGAACCTGTACATAGCGAGGGTAGAGGGATTTGCCCTCAAGCACAGGAACATTTCCTGAGCAGAGGATGGGACCTCCCCAGTGACCTTGGACTCCCTGAGGACAAATCTTGCAGATTCTCACACGGAAATGGGCACGCTAAGGCTAACTGCCTTCCCAATGGGCACTCCCATCCGTGGGCCCTGGGCTAACACTTTCTTCCCTACCCCCCCCCCCCCACCCTCCCGCACTCACCGTCCAGCCTGCCCTCTCCCCAGACTCCCCAGGAGCTTCCTGGCTGCCCCCTTCACTTCCTCGTTCCTGAGGGTGCAGGTGAGCGGGTTGGGGGCCGGGGTGACCACGGTGTAGAAGAGCGAAACGAACTTGCCCCGCGCCCGGTCGTGGCGGCGCGTGGGCTGTAGGCAGGTGTCCATGGCCGAGCCACAGAAGAGGCAGACGGCGGTCAGGTGCGGCCCACGCGTGCCCACCGCTTTCCTGCGGCCGCCCGGGACCGCAGGCCCCAGATGGCGCGGGCCACGGCGCCACACGAGGCCAGGAGGACGGCGGCGGGCAGCAGCAGGGGACCGCGCGCGCAGCGAGCCCCCGGCGCTCGGTGGCACCGCGGCCGCCACCGCAGGCCCGCGGCAGCAGCGGTCCCGCGGGTGGGGTGTGCAGAGCGGCCGCGCGGCCAGCAGCGCGCTCTGCCAGCTGAGGTGGCCGGGCCGCCCAGCCAGCGGGTGGCGCACGGCGGCCGCGCGGTCCAGCGCCATCACCGCCGGCGGCGGGCGCTCCACCGAGCCCAGCGCAGGCCATGTGCACAGCTGGGCGGGCAGCCCGCGCGCTGCAGCCGCAGCTCGGCGCCGCACAGGCTGGCCAGCAGCGCGGGCGCCACGCTCGTGGTGAAGCCCGCGTCCACCAGCGCCAGGTGGCACAGGAGGTAGCACGTGGGTGTGTGCAGGCTCGGGTCGCGCACGGCCAGCAGCGTGAGGGTCGAGCTGCCCGCCAGGCTCAGGAGGTAGCAGAGCAGGACGCGGGCGAGGAGGACGGGCTGCAGCGCGGGCCAGTCGGAGAAACCCGGCAGGAGGAAGCGCCCCTCGGCGCTGTGGTCGGCCTGCGGGAGGAAACTCCGAGTGTCTGCAAGGACGCAGAAGGAAAGGGTGACTTTGCCCCTGCAAGCGAAGGGGAGCCCGGGAGCCCGGGGCGTGGCGGGCGGGGAACTGGATGGAGCGAGGGGGCAGGATGGGAGCGCACCTCGCTATCTCATTTACAGACCTGAGCCCTGACTTTGGGAAGCTAGCACTACCTTCGCATAGCTTAGCTGATGTATTCAGCAGGCCCTTTGGGGGAGAAAGAATCTCCACTTTGTAGAAGAACAAACTTAGATTCGGAAAGGGGAGATTGCCCAAGGTCACAGCTAGTGAGTGGCCCTGTGCGGCTCGTGGTCAGGCTTGTTTCCTTTCCATATCAGTGCCTTTTCGGCTGCTTCCCGGGTTCTGATGGTACTCCTGGGGGCCAGAGTAGAAATCTGATCTTCCTCCCAAAGAACAGTCCTTCATATTTTTGAAGACAGATTTCCCCCTGAGCTTCCCTCCCCTTCTTCTAAAGTGTGTAGTGCCTAAGAATAAGTGTAATACCCTAGGCTTGGTAGAACCAACACTTGGTAGCTTAGAACTATATCACCTTCTTTGTTTCAGGGGCTCTACTTCTGTGAATACAACCATTAGCTGACTACTGAGTGTCAATCTGTGGGGAATCTCTCTTCTAGGCGCCACCAATGTCCATGCCCCTCCTGCTTCTCCCTGGTGTGATGGTCATGATCTACGGGCCTTGAAACCCACAGTCGTCTGGCAGAACACCAAGCTAGAAGCCAGGAGCCCTGGGTCCCACCTAGTATAACTGCCTTTGGCCAGGTGGATTATTTGATATGGAGAAGTAACTGCATTTCCCTTTGCCTCTGTGTTTCCATGTGTAAGAGGAGTCGTCTGAATTAGATAACCTCCAGGGCTCCTGGATTATCCCCCAGCTCTCATTGCAAAAAGAGTATTTGTCATTTGAATTAAAAGGGGACCCGACACAGAAGCCTTTTACCCTGGAAGAGTGATGCTGAGTCACATTTCCTAATGGTACAGAAACCATATGGTTGATGTGATGACTAAATATTACAGTGAAATCGGTACTTCACCTTTCCTGGCAGGTATCAGGAAACAGATAAACTTCATATTCACTATTCTGAGTTTAAAAATCATAACCCCCTGGGTGCCTGGGTGGCTCAGTCATTAAGCGTCTGCCTTCAGCTCAGGTCATGATCTCAGGGTCCTGGGATCGAGCCCCACATCGGGCTCCCTGCTCGGCAGGAAGCCTGCTTCTCGCTCTCCCACTCCCCCTGCTTGTGTTCCCTCTCTCGCTGTGTCTCTTTCTGTCAAATAAATAAAATCTTAAAAAAAAATAAAATCATAATCCCTTATTTTTTTATTTTTCAGGAAAATCTCTTTTCCCCCCAGAGAACATCATGCTTATATGGTTCAGTTTATGCTCATTAAGCAGAACAGGTGTTCATGGTGTGACTGAGACCAAGGGCTGGGACGTCAGACTGCGTGAGTTCGCCTTGGTGCTGCCATTTCCCAGCTGAACAACCCTGGGCATGTGGCTTAACCTCTCTGTGGCTCAGTTCCCTCACTTGAAAGTGGAATTGGTTAAGTGGGTTAAGCACGGAAAGCTCTTGGAACAGTGCCTGGCACAGAGTAGGTGTTTAGTAAATGCTCAGTCTTATCATCCCTATTTCACACATCAGGGGAGGTTTGCAGAGAGCTCCTACACCAGTTAGTGGCAGAACCAGTGTGTGAGTTTGTCTCCTTTCATTTATTAACTCTGGTCTTTAGTCACCTGAAAGTGAGGCAATACTCCTATTTTAAGACTATAGGCGGGCAGTTGAGGTTAAATAACTTGCCCAAGGTCACACTGTTTGTAAGTGCTTATCAGGATCTCAACCCAAATCTCACTAATTCCCAGAACCTTGCTTTATATATATGTATATACATTTAAGCCAGCTCTGCTATGCCAGAGGCTGTGGAGGATAATGTACGTACAAATCCTGATCTTGCTCTCTAGATAACTGTAGAGCATTGGGGTCATCCTGGAGATGAACACAGGCAAGAGCTGACATTCAGGCTTATGGCCCAATGGTGCTAGAGGTGTTATTCTAAAAAGTCCAATTTTCTAATTCTGTGATCACGTAGACACACACCCGCTCAGCCAGGCGAGCCCTGAACAGTTCCCCTCCAAACACGCCAAACCCTGAACACAGGCACACAATAATAAAATCACACAAACAATACCTGTACTCCATGGAGGCACGCATTCCCAAATACTTACTCAGACACATACATACACATACACGTCCCCCCGTAATTCCCCCGAAGCATCCAGAAGGCAAATCTGTTGTAAAAATATTCTAGGATGTGTCCCCAAACCTCATTCGGTATTCTAGAATATGCCCCGCATCTGTAAGACCATTTTCCTACCTTCATGTCCGAGTCTCTGGCACTGATATTCAGCCCTTCAATTGGTCTGTTGTTTCTACTCTGGATGCTCAGAGTTTGAAATGGCAGTGGGAGGGGTGAAAGACAGAGCTAAGGGCATGACTGTTGATTTCGAGAATGGGTGCCTGAGATCAGAGCCAGGTCCTTCCCTTGGGGGTGGGAGCCCCCTCGCTTGTCAGCAGAGGAACGAATACAATGTCTTTGGCAAAGAAGCCAGCCCAGTCTGAGAAGCACTGAGATTTGGGCAGAGGGGCGGTGTCTGTTCCTGGAGAGCCCTGCACCAGGGTCTAGACTAGGCAAGGACTTGAGTCTTGGGCTGGTAGCAGGTCCACAGGAGCTGCTGCTGGCCGCGGAAATAGGCTTCCTGATTCTAGAGGGCACAGCAGTTGTTGAGTAGGGATGTTGATGATGAGCCGCTCCCTGGAGAGGAAGCGGGGGAATCCACTTTCCCTGTTATTGAGAAGAGAGGATGGGGCCCTGGGGAATCCATGCGCCATGCACATAATTAGCACCTGTGTGGAATTGTCCAGAGAAGAGTCCCCCAGGGCAAGGAGGGGAACATTCTGGAGGGAAAGGCCCTTGAGGGTGGTGTGTCCCTGGCAGTGTGGAGACCAGAGGCAGCACCGGGCTTCCTCCCCATCACTTGTACTCCTAGCATTTAAGTGGTTTAGGGTTTCCTTCTGGGAATGAGGGACCATGAGCAGCTGGATAACCTCAGTGACACTCAGGGTCAGTATGAAAACGGGGCAGACAGCCCTTGTCTGTGGGAGAGGTTTGAGGTCTGGCAACGTCATCCAGTTCTGACCCTCTTGTCATCGGCTTTTGCCGCCACCCCTTCTTGTGGCTGCCTCTGCTTTGTCCCTGGCTCAGCCCCTCTCCCAGGACTGCCTGTCCTAATTCTTTTTTTTTTTAATTTATTTTTTTTCACTTTTTGAATCCATTTTTATTTCTTTTTAATTTAAATCAATTAGCCAACATATAGTACATCATAATTTTCAGAAGTAGAGTTCAATAATTCATCAGTTGGGTATAACACCAGGTGCTCATCACATCACAGGCCTAACACCCAGTTACTCCATCCCCCCAGCCACCTCCCATCCAGCAACCTTCAGTTTGTTTCCTAGAGTTAATAGTCTCTCATGGTTTTCATCTTATTTTATTTTTCCCTCCCTTCCCTTATGGTCCTCTGTGCTGTTTCCTATATTCCACATATGAGTGAAACCATATGATAATTGTCTTTCTCTGATTGACTTATTTCACTTAGCATAATACCCTCCAGTTCCATCCACGTCGATGTAAATGGTAGGTATTCATTCTTTCTGATGGCTGAGTAATATTCCATTGTATATATGAACTACATCTTCTTTATCCATTCATCTGTTGAAGGACATCTCAGCTCCATCTATAGTTTTGCTATTGTGGGTATTGTTGCTATGAACATTGGGGTGCACATGCCCCTTCTTTTCACTACATTTGTATCTTTGGGGTAAATACCCAGTAGTGCAATTGCTGGGTTGTAGGGTAGCTCTATTTTTAACTTTTTGAGGAACCTCCATACCGTTTTCCAGAGTGGCTGTACCAACTTGCGTTCCCACCAACAGTGTAAGAAGGTTCCCCTTTCTCCACATCCTCACCAACACTTGTTATTTCCTGTCTTATTAATTTTGCCATTTTAACTGGTATAAAGTGCTATCTCACTGTGGTTTTGATTTGGATTTCCCTGATGGCTAGTGGTGTGGAGCATTTTTCATGTGTCTGTTAGCCATTTGGATGTCTTCTTTGGAGAAAGGTCTGTTCATGTCTTCTGCCCATTTCTTGACTGGATTCTTTGTGTTTTTGGGTGTTGAGTTTGAGAAGTTATTTATAGATCTTGGAAAGCAGCCCTTTATCTGTAATGTCATTTGCAAATATCTTCTCTCATTCTGTGGGTTGCCTCTTAGTTTTGTTGACTGCTTCCTTTGCTGTGCAGAAGCTTTTTATCTTGAGGAAGTCCCAATAGCTCATTTTTGCTTTTATTTCCCTTGCCTTTGGAGACCTGTCTTGAAAGAAGTTGTTGCAGCCGAGGTCTAAGAGGTTACTGCCTGTGTTCTCCTATAGGATTTTGATGGCTTCCTGTCTCACATTGAAGTGTTTCATCCATTTTGAGTTTATTTTTGTGTGTGGTGTAAGGAAATGGTCCAGTTTCATTCTTCTGCATGTGGCTGTCCAGTTTTCCCAGCACCATTTATTGAAGAGCCTGTCTTTTTTCCATTGGATATTCTTTCCTGCTTTGTTGAAGATTAGTTGACCATAGAATTGAGGGCCTATTTCTGGGCTCTCTATTCTGTTCCATTGATCTATATGTCTGTTTTTGTGCCAATACCATGCTGTCTTGATGATCACAGCTTTGTAATATAGATTGAAGTTAGGCAACGTGATGCCCCCAGCTTTGGTTTTCTTTTTCAACATTTCTCTGGGTATTCGGGGGCTTTTCTGGTTCCATACAAATTTTAGGATTATTTGTTCCAGCTCTGTGGAAATTGTCAGTGGTATTTCTATAGGGATGGCATTGAATGTGTAGATTGCTCTGGGTAGCATAGACATTTTAATGATGTTTATTCTTCTACTCCATGAACATGGAATATTTTTCCATCTCTTTGTGTCTTCCTCCATTTCTTTCCTAAGTGTTCTGTAGTTTTTAGAGTATAGATCCTTAACCTCTTTGGTTAGGTTTATTCCGAGCTATCTTATGATTTTTGGTGCTATTGTAAATGGGATCCATTCCTTAATTTC